TCATCTGTATATAATATAATATTTATGCATAATACAACAGCTCTTACATAATATCTTATGAAGAGATCACACAGTGCATGTGTTATTTGGCTAACATATTGATCAATGTGGGTTTATTCTCAAATATAATGTTTGTAACTGTCTACAAAGTAATGTAATCTATCAACAATATAACAACAAATTATGTTTTAAAAAAAAAAAATATTATCACATTACCTATTTTATATTGTTACATTTTGAATATTAAACTTTATATGTAGGCACTTTTTTAGTCTCTTAATCCCGTTTTAAGCAACATGTATATTAAGTTTGATACTCGTCCGCATGTTATGATGATGAATTTTTTCGATAGGTTTATACAATTGAATTATTGACTACCTATGGTTATTTATTTTCCCCATTAACGAACAGTAAATACTAGTACAATTTTAACATGGTAATTTTGTAACTCAAAGCATTTTTATAATGAACTAATTATTATATAATAATAATAAAATTTATTTCTTGCAAAGAACAAAATACAAAAGAAATAACAAACTAGTACAAGCTGCAAACTTCCCTATAAGCGTAATACTTGTGGTGAGGATTAAGAATTTAAGTTCAGTATATACAGCATAGTTAATTAAAAAGAAAAAAATATGTACAGCACAATGAATGCCACGACGATGTGGTAGACGTTTTGACGTTTAAAGTTCAAAATAAACCTAAAAATAATTCTAAATTCAATCTTGTAAATTCTTGAAAATCAAAAGCTGTCGTTTGATATCGATTTGGACCGTTTTGGACAACTTGGGTGGGCTAAGTTTACAAGGCCAAAAGCAGCTTTTGGGTGGAGCCTGTGTGACTTCTATAAACAAACTTGCGAATTCTTGCAAATCAAATGCTGTCGTTTGGCGTTGACTTTGACCGTTTCGGACAACTTGGGTGAGCTAAGTGAATTTAGCCCACCATTGAATTACTCAAAAACTGGTTACTTGAAAATTATAAAAATGTTCTTGAAAATTCTTGCATATTACTTGCAAAATATTGTCTGTGCTTTGAAGTAAATCATATTATATAGGTGGGCCAACTTGTCCGAAATGGTCCAAATCGCTAAGAACCATAAACCATTAATTATTTTCATGGTGGTTATTCGATTGACTAATTTAATAATATTACTTATGCAGTTATGCGTGAAGGATATTATAGGTTAAAAATAATAATTATTGACATATTATAATAAAATACCCATAATATTATATTTCGTAGCCCTTTAACCTTCGGTTTTATAAAATTATCCCATACAATTACACAACTGTAACTTTTTATAATTATACAGTATGAATTTTTGCATAATTGAAGAAGAACTTTACTATAGAGGCGTTATTTCAGTTTTTAATTTAGGGGGGCAAATGTTTTGAGCAGTCCAAAATAATGACTAATAAAACAACCACTCGCTTCACTTGCAAGTACATATTAATATAGTACCTATATATGTATAATAATTAGTTCCTTTTTTTCCATAATACACACCCATACATGCCACCGCATGCTACTAAATATAAATATACTCCAACTATTAATTAGTAAAAGGGTCCCGGTGCCAATTTTTTAAATTGTCCACAATTCTGTAAAATTTGAAAATTAAATTTTAGATTTTAGTTGCCACCTCAATTATAATACTTTTCCACTAATCTACTACTCGATACCTATGTAGGAGCCGACTAGGAGGGTTATCAGGGTGTATTATATCGAAAAAAAATGACTTTACGGGAATAACTATAAAACTTTGTAGAATTGTCTGAATTTTTATCTGAAAGAAGAAGACTTCCTACAGCCCACATCGATCTCTGATTTTGTATTTTATTTCAAATAGTTGTATAAAAAAAATTGTAAAAAAATTATTTTTATCTTGTATTATTTTAGACATATTATAAAGTTTGAGAATAAAATATTGAAAACAGAGATCGATGCGAGCTGTAGAATATTTCCCTCTAGCAATTAAAATAAAAATTAGGAAATTTGGTTGATTCTACAAACGGTATCGTTATTCCCGCAGAGTGTATTTTTGAGGACAAAATTGCATCGACACCGGGTGCCTTAACAAATCATCATTGTGAGAATAAAACCCCCTGAGACGGTCTACGAATCAGCCGATTTTTTGTAATCTCATTTAATTATTTCAAATCATTTGATGATATTAAGTTAATAATAAGTTAATTAATTTTGTATTCATTAAACAAGTAATAAAACAGAGCTTAGAAAATAAGAAACTGTAATAACTGTATGTATTTTTATATAACAAAACAATTGTTTGAGTCCTAAACAGTTAAATGTACAATGTACAAACAACGGTTCCTTTATATAGTACAAGAATAACAGTTTTTAGATGGTATAATTACATTCTTGATTCTTCGTTGATAATTTTTGGATAATACTTAGATAGGTAAGGTAATAAAATGTTGTACGAAAAAAATGAATTCACCCAAGTCCTACTTATTAAGACTTAAAGCAATATGCCAATATTAATATAAAATCAAATATTCAAGGTTAACACATATGTCGTTCGTATATATAATGGTGCTTATACCTATCATTGAATTCAAATTTAATACATACATTACAGTGGTCAGTGACCCACTCGACGCCTACAGTACAGCAGAGCAGTAAGCTCATGCCCACCATCTTATATTTTTTAATACATGCCTTTGGCTAGGAAAATTTTTTTTAAACATGTATATTATGTTAATTTACAGGATTTTCATATTTCACCTACCTCAAGGTCAAGGGCAACGTATTGCATACCTCATGATATGTATATTGTATACATTTGTTTGAGGCATAATCATTCTGGGCTACTCAATTAACCTACCCTGCACTTGGACACTTTTTACACTTTTTACTTTTTTTTTACACGAATTAAAATCATTACAAAACAATATACTATAATATCTAACTAGCTTATTTAACAATTTTCAATAAAATCTGTATAAACTTTTATTCTAACATAATTTTCTATTTAATATTATCACTATAATAATATACTTTATAACTTTTAAGTTATTAAACATTTAGATAGTCACAAGTACTAGGTTTATAATCATATCTATCTATATCTATATATATAAAAATGAATGTATGTCAGTGTGTGTGTCTGTGTGTCTGTGTGTCCATGTTACCATGGTTACCAAGGTTGCCATGGTTACTAAGGTTACCAAGATTTCATATCAATCTATACATATAAAAATGAATGTATGTCAGTGTGTGTGTGTGTGTGTGTGTGTGTGTCCATATTACCATGGCAACCATATCTGTATATAAAAAACAGTAAGCTGATTGACTGCTATCAACGCACAGCTCAAACCATTGGACGGATCTGGCTGAAATTTGGCATACAGATAGCTATTATAATATAGACGTGCGCTAAGAAAGGATTTGCCAAAATTCGCATTTTAAATAGGTGCTGAAACATTGACATTGAGATTCACGATAGAAATTGGAAATTTTATTTTTATTTATTTATAGTTGCCATTGGTTACAGTCTACATTAGAAATTAGCATTTATTTATTGGTTGCCATTGGTTATTCGGGCAGATCAGGTACAAGCTTGCATCAAATCGAATTATTGAACAATGCTTACCAGGGTGGCAGAGTTGCACTTACCGCAGAAAATTACACCCAAAAGGAGTTCAACAATCATAATTTTTTAAGAGTTGCGATTTTTTACGAGCAACCAAATTTATTATATTAATCCACAGTATTACATCAAAATAAACTTGGTATAACTTTGATACTTTAGAGTTAAATCATACACTTCCGTACAAACAGCACGGGGTCCGCGATCTACCGCAGGTAGATTGCCTACCTGATAATGTACTGCTGCGATTCAGAATTTTTATTCAGGGCAACGGGAAAGATAAGATAAATTTTGAACACCATACACGTTAATGAATTGAACAAAGTTTGAGTAGGTAGTATTGAGTTGATCCATTTAACGGGCGACGAAGTGCACGGGATCAGCTAGTATTATATAAAAATGAATGTATGTCAGTGTGTGTGTCTGTGTGTCCATGTTACCATGGTTACCAAGGTTGCCATGGTTACTAAGGTTACTAAGGTTTCATGGTTATTAAGGTTACCATGATCCATAGTTACCATGGTTACCAATGTTACCATGGTTACCAAAGGTACCATGGTTACCATGAGTGTTGTAGCTATTATATTCATAATTATAGGTCTTTAATGGACAACGAAGTGCATGGGATCAGATATTTTATATATATAGTCCGTGTGTGTCCACATTACCATGGCAACCTTTTATATTGTTTTATGTAAAACATATTATTCTTATAGAGTTGTCAATTTTAATGGGCAACGTGGTGCTCGGGATCAAATATTTTTATACATATAGACATGTTAGATCTCTGGGCAGAAGATAGGCTAATTTAAAAGGGGAGAGGACCAACACCGGGACGTGCTCAAACAGGGATTTTGAGATTTTGGTCACCGCGGGTTTCAAAGCTATAATTATAATAATAATTGGTTTAAAATTGCTGTTATGGTAACCGTTATATTATAAAATAAAACATTTTATTCATATAGAGTTGGTATTTTTAATGGGCAACGAAGTGCACGGGATCAGCTAGTATTATATAAATTTGATTAGGTGATAATATAATAATTAGAACAATCAATGTCAGGCTTTACTAAATCTAAACTAAATGACTGATTAGGTCCATATAATTTATTAGCATATTATTTAATTTTTAAATTAATCGATTATTTAGTAGTCGATTACTGGATTAATCGATTATTTAGGAATCCAAAATTAGGATAATTGATGTATAATAAATCGATCATGGGATTAATCGATTAATAATAAATCGATTAATTCAATAATCGATTGATTAATCGGATATCCGATTAACCGGTAAAATCGATTAGAACCTATAATCGATAATCGGTTGTGTCAAAGAATAACCGCGCAGGCCTAATATAAACAACATTAATTCAACATTTGCTTATATATAATTAACTAAAACTGAAACAACTGTGTAGCAATTACCCATTATCTGTAATAAAAATAAAATAAAGATTAATAAATATTTTCCACAAACCCATACTTATATCTTTTTTTATTTTAATATTTCATGAAATATATAAATGATTTTTTTTTTTTTGTTTATAAGGAAGTGTTATGTCTACATTTTCTTGTCCAGCCCGGTTTATTTGAGGAAGGAGATACAATCACTTGATATTATAAACGGCTATTCATATAAGTTTGGGATTATTTTGAGTTTGTGTAATTTTACCAAATATTTATATGATTATTTTTATATAATATATAATTTTTTCAAAAACAATAAAATTGTATTTATTTTACAGCTCCCTCTTACATTCTCCATGAGTTTTGAAGACATTAAAAATATATTACCATTAATTTAATTATTAACAGAAATAGGTTTTTGGTATGGGTAGACATTTTTAATTTCTAATCTGAAAGGCCAAATATAATAAAGTTAAAAAGTTAACACAAAGTTCATAGTAACATGTAAACAAAAACATATTTATGATTCATAAATCAAGGGGGAGGGGTTAAACAAATTTAAATTGTCAAAGTACTTATATTATATTTTATTTTATTTAAAACAAACGTAAAATTAATAATTATTCTAATTAATTAGTCAAGGATGAAGATTGTTGAATACTTGTTCCATAAATGTATTCGAATACAATTTTATAATATATTATGTTAAATAGGTATTATAGAAATACTTACTTTATAAAACATTTCCAAGTTTACAATTCTTGTTATAGTAAATTTTAACTTTTTTTGGTTTGCATTATTCATTTTCATTGTTGATAATATCAATTTTTTACACTTCATATCCATTTCGGTCCAATTACTGCTGTACAGTGCGAATATTATTGAATCTTTCTTTAATAAAAAAAAAGAAAGGTCATTAAAAATGTAACATAATATTATCAATAATATTAAAAAAAATAATGATTATAAAATTACTTGATCGTGTAAGTAGTCAAATAAATAACACACAATATATACTTGAATCAGTATTGCCAAAATTGGGCAAATCATTTTTTTGAATGCAACATCCATATCCTTAAATCTATCATCGTCGGAGAAACTCTGAAATAATTTTTTTATAGATAAATCATCATTTACAAACACATCACACGTGAACTTAAATTAATTTAATATTATATTTTGTATAAAAATATACATTGGATAATTTGAAAACATTAATCACATACTTAATCAATATATTTGATTAACCTAAAATTCGGGAAAACGTTGGTAGAAAAATTGTTTTTTTTTTACAGAACTTCGGAAAATATGGAAAAATTCGAGAATTTTCAAATAAAACATTTCCGAAAAAACTCAAATTTTTGGAAAATCAATAAATTGCATTTAAGCTTAAAAATTAAAATAATCCAAGTATAGATATAAAAAAAACCCAGTTCAAAAAAAATAGATAAGGAAATCTCTGTCATATTGTCGCATTTGTCAATATATATCATTGTATTAAACTAATAACTATTGTCTATTAATAACTGGCAACTAGTAAGTATTAGATAGTTTTAATATTTTAGATTATGAGTGGAGGTGTAACATTTTCAAAATATCTTTGCAAGTTTTGAGCTGTTAACGAACATTTTAAATTTTAAATTTTTAGTTTTTATAAATGTGAATAAAATTGTAATTGTTGGGTCAAAAAGCTTGAAAATTTAATACAATGCTCTTGGTATAATGTTATAACAGAGCAATTGAAAAATAATAGTTTTTTTTATTAACATCTAAGTTCAAATTTTGACAAAATTTAAAAATTATTTAGTAGTTAACAATTTATAAAATGTTCAACTTTTATATTATAGCTATAAATTAAACATTTAAAACAAGGTTGCACATACGTATTTTATATTGTAACCAAAAAATCTAAATACATATATAAACACAGTTTATTTTTATAGTTATTTTAATTTTAAATTTTGACGAAATGACATAATATTAAATAATGAAAAATAACGCGATTTTAGTTATTTTGTTTGTAATATAAAACTATTTTTCATGATAACTTGAAGCTTCCCAAGTATATTATTATATACAAGTATTGAAACAAAAAATATGAAAATAATATTAATTCCACTTACCGGATTCTGTATTAATAATAACAATATAAATTCTTATTATAATAATCTTATTCATTTAAATAATTGTATAAGTTTAATATAACAATATTATTATTATAAAATTTAAGTTTTTACGTATTTTTTTTTACCATTATGAAAATAAACGAAAGCGTGATGACCGATAATGACGATATGACAATTTGTGACAACAATACTCGTCTAAATAAAGCTAAAAAATCTTCATATTTCCTGAAAAAAAAATGATTGAGCCATTTTAAGGGAATTTTAAATGAACCTAATATATATTCGGAACCCAAAGGTTGATAAATGGAAGTGACACTCCATCCGAAATATAGGTATTAAACTCTAACATATCAAAAAAAGTTTATATCCAAATGGTATATACCTACATACCTAGTATTATAGTGTAAAAAAATTAATTATTTAAATAATTATTATCCGAATTAAACTTTACGTGCATTCCAAGTTCAACCTCCGAATCCGAATTCTGATTTCTGAGTTTTATTTTACAAACATATATTCGGCACATGAATAAATTAATGTGATTATGCTTACTATTTTCACGGTACAATTTTCATTTAAAATTAAATAATATTTCACTAGGCATAAAAAGTAGAATTTAATTAACTCTTACTCCATTACTGCTTGATGATCTATTATGATTGTTTTTAGTTCAGCATAAACTAAATCATGTTCATTTCGTTTTTTATTTATTTTATCAGTATGATCTATAAGTAAAAAAAAACAATTTTGATAATTTTCCTATTGTTTAAAATTATCAAAAATTTAAAAATTTAATAAATATTTAAAAATTTTATTTGCCCCAAGAAAAACCCACAATTTTTTAGAGTACCTATCTAAAGCTTACAAATTAAACAAATGAATTAGTAAAAATACTACGAATTTAAATGTGTATGCAATTTTTTTTCATTCAATACACTTTTAAATGTACCTTATAGTCGTACTCACCAATCGGGGAATGAGAGTAGCAAAGTGATTTATGTCCGACCGATTTGAACGCAGAGCAAATCATTTGCATCTGACTACATATACCAATGCACAGTGTAACCAGAACAATATCGAATATGAGGAATGACATTACCATCATGGAGAGGTGCACCGCCTCGACAAGGTAAAACGTAGTATAGTTTGTGTTGTACGTTGCGTCTGATACCATCAAATAGAAATTCATGACATTCTGACGGTAAAATCCGACCGATCCGTCGTGATTTTTGACCGGTAACACATCGTTACGGTATACCAGGGTACTGACCAAGTACGAGGCCGGAAAACACGAATACACAATGGCAAACATGGTGGTAAACCGCACCGAACGTCCACGAAAAAGATCCAGTATATGTCTGTTCCGGAGGCTGAAAGATGTGAAATCATACCGTGTGATCGACAAACAGTCCCATATGTCGTTCGAGTGGCCGACGACGATCCACATCTTGTAGACCAAGTACATCGAAGTTTCCGCTTTCCAAAAACAGTCCACGCTGATGGACAGATTGTCCGTCCAATAGTACACACCGCTGACGTTTAACAGCATCGAATTGACAAACATGGTCAGCAAAATGCATGCCGCGACAATGTGATAGACGTTTTGACCCCTGTATTTTAAGGATCCGGGATCCAATATTTGGTATAGACCTATACATTTGGCCAACTCAAAGTGGAAAACGTGGTTTTTATCGTTTCGCGTGTCCATCGTTATATACCTATACAGGTGTCGAACAAGTAATAATATAATATATCTTTCTTTAGTTAGTATATAGTCAAAAATATATAAAATACGCAGGTACTGTCGTCACTTTTAATAATTGAATTATCTTAAATATTATGATACAGGTGATACTGAATCAAACCTTTGAAGGAAACTATTGGGTTATTCTTGGTTCATCTAGATACATACTGCTTCACTGTCAGACCTATAAAATATATATTACCTATATAATATTGTTATCAACCATTACATTTAAATAATTTACTTAAAACTATTAATATATTTGCTATAATCAGTAATTATTAAAAGTCTTCATTTGTCCTTTATAATACAAACATTTCAATTTTGGTTATTATAAAATTAAACGTAAGCTACGTATTGTGTAAGTAATATTGTTCGCCTATCGCTGATAATTCGAGTTTTCCACTTTTGCATGTTCATGTGAAATTGTTTAGGGTGACTCATTAATTTTCATACATGGTACATTGACTAATTTATTAATATTATTTTTGATTAATGGTTATAAGTTCTAAAATTATCATTGTATATAAATTAAATACCTAGCATTTTTTTTGTAGTCTCTCAGTTTTCAGTATTGAGTATTTAAAATACGAGACCATCCTATATAAATTGTAACCGAAACTTTTATAATTATACAGTATGCAATTGTATGCCTTTAATAAAATTACATTTAAACTTAGTGGTAGATTTAAAACCTAAATGTGTTTATCTGTATGTAGGCCCATAAATAATTGGACCAGGCACGTCGCTAGTAATTTCAAAAGAGGGGTGTTATTCAAAATTAATTGACAAAATTATACACATCTAATTAATGACTTTATTATAGTTGTGTTTGTTATCACAGAACAACGGTTATTTACCGTATTATAATCATGAAATCTAGAATGAGAAGACCAAACTCTTACGGAAACCCAAGTGAAAAAAGTGAATGAACGTTTTGGCCCATTAACCCAAAAGCTAACACGTTTGAGTATAAATAGACACAAGGTTTATGCACATAGAATAAAACGTATTAATATATATTTTTACGAGGTAAATTTAGAGAATGTTTGGGTGCACGCACACATACAAGACACATTTGGTTACCTAATACTTACACAGTTACACAATACACATAATAATATATAATTAAAGTGGTATACTCATTTTCTATTTTACACAAACCATCGAAATTGTTATTTTATTAAAGTATTAGTATATTTTTTCTAATGATACTCATCTCATCAACCTAATAAAATAAAATCACCCTAATAGTGTCAATAAATTTAATTATTATTCATGTTATCAATGATTTTTACATTTATAAGATCATTTTTTATTAACTGTATATATTACCATCTATGTAAATGCCGACTGGCGTCAATTAATAAATAAATAAATAAGACATATTATTAGAGAAATCGTGGAAATCAGGTTTATGTTGTAAATTTAAAAAGTCAGTTTCTGAGAATATGGCCTAAACTGTAAAATTAGAAAACATTACAGAACTTCAAGACATGAAAACAATTTGATGAATTAAAACGAAAAACAATTTTCACTGACATGTACAGGATTATTTTGGAATGCCATGATTTTTCAATAACCATTGTTTTAAAATTCTACTAACAAAACACCACTATTTTATGTTGAAATTAGGTGAGACAAATTATAACGGTCACCCTATTCATATTTTGATTATGGAATTTCAATTAGAATTGAAATATTCATCACCGACAATAAGTGTTTGAATATAATATACAAGGCATTTTATAAAATATAAAAGAAATGTTATGCTTATTACACACCAACAACTAAAATATGGGTAAAATATAAATATCTAATGATATTATAAAATAATAAAATAATGCAAAAAAATCATCATGTTAATAATAAATAATAATACATGGGTTCATTTTAATATTTATAATTCATATATCATTAAAATGAAATTTTCGAGGAAAGACAATTTACAATATACAAATTTGGACGAATAATGGTGTCCGTCATCAATAACAGCCAGCCGATACCAAAATATGTTCACCGAGTCGGCCACTCACTTATATAAACTAATAGGCTCTCTATATAAACCTAATTAAAAAATAGCTTAATTTTATTTATGTTCTGATAAGAACAGCGATGGATGCATTGGTTTTACACTTTTACAATGATATAGGTTTTGTTTTTGTCCAAACACTCTTCTTCTACCCGAAAAAAATGATATAATCTTCAATATTGAACATAGTTCGTGAAAGTAAATTTGGTCTAGCTTGTAGTTTGCATTCCCTAACCAGTGTTTGGTAGCAACGTAACGCAAATTATAAATTCCTGTAATGCAATTACTTTTTCAGTAACGCAGCAGTAATTTCATTACATTTTACTTAAAGTAACGCAATTGTAAAAAAAATTACTTTTGAAAAGTAATTTCTATGAAGTAACGCGTTATTTTCCACGTTATTTAAATAATAGTTTTGAATGTATTACAGGTATAGGATATCCCAGAAAAATTAAAAATCAATTATATTTCTTTTTGATTCCGATAATAATAATTATAGTTAACAATATTACCAACATTCCAAGAATAAATGTTATCACTTTATTAGCAAAAAAAAAAAAGTTCGGTTTAAAAATAAAATGTAATAAAAATTAATTATGATTTATGACTAATTACTATATATAGCCATATAGGGGAGATGATTGTAAATTCGTACATAATACTAAAATAGGTCTATTATGACTATGTCCATGGTTGTAAAATATATACATAATAATTGAATCATATGAATTGAATATGGTTAAAAAAAAATAATAAAAAAAAAGTGACGTTATTTGTAACCCACTACTTTATTAATGAAAAAGTAATGTAACGTGATAAAAATAATTTTAGGTAACGCAAATGTAACTTAAATAAAATTATTTGATCTACCGAGTAACGTAATTGCATTACTTTTTAAAAGTAATTTACCCGACACTGTCCTTAACACACGTTTCAAAGTAATAGAAGTTTCAAACCCGATATTTTAAGTTTCCAGGATCCAAAGTGTGATACAGACCTATAAGTTTGGTCAACTTAATATTAAAAACATATTCTTTCACGCTCCGAATGTCCATCATCATATTATCAATAAACTGTTGGAAAACAAGTAATAATATTATCTTTTGGTTGTTTACCTGTTGACAAATATATCCGTACTTGTCACTTATATAATTGAATTATCGTAAATATTATGTATGCAATACTCAAACAAAACTTTAAATAAAATGGTGTTATCCTCGTTTCCTGTAAAAATATTAGAAATTGTCATCAAACTCTAGTTAAAACAATTTACATAAATGCGATTTAATACACTTGCTAGTCGATGGTAATATTGAACATCATAAATTGTCCTTTATAAATGTAAAATACAAATACATTGGATTTTATGAAATTTAACGTTAAATACGTACATAATATCGGTGCAAGTATCAACTTATCGCTGTTCATTTGGGTTGTCGACTGTTGCATGTTCGTGTGAAATTTATTATAGCAACACATACATTTTTATAGATAGCGCCTCAGTTAACTACTAACTACTTATTAGGTAGGCATTTTTTTTTTTACCTTCTACAATATGACGTGTGACTGGGTTTGTATGAGGGTATGATTACGGGCGTATATATTAAGCTCCTCCACAAATACCTTCTTTTAGTGTAACATCCACCAGTAAAAAAAAAAACCAGATAAAATCGGGTTAAGGTAAACTCCTTCAGCGAAGAAAATCAAGTATCTAACAGAATAAAATTAATATAATGCATATTTATAAAAAAAAAAAAATCCTAATTTTTATAATAATAATTGTTGTCCTCATTAAATAATAGTTAAGTATATGCGTATAATATGCTAAAAAATGTACAAAACTTAAAAATAAAAACAATAATCGTCCGAACAAATCATAGAAATTGTAATGTTTATTAGGTACCTACGTAAAAAATCATAAATCATAATAAATAAATACCATACTAGTACTAATCATAAAATAATATTTTAATATGTCTAGATATATTTTTTTTTTGTTATAATAATATTTTGAACTTTCAACTAAAGTTATGTAAAAATATTTGTACATATTCTAATTTCTAATAAGACTAATATAAATCCATTATTATAACTATTTATAAAGTTCTCTAACGCGCAATTTTTTTTTCATTTTGCATTTTTGAGCTTATTTAGTTGATATATAATATTAAGTTTCACATAAGCAAGGCCTTAAAACTGGCGCAGTTTCCATATAATATACCCATTACAAGTAAGAAAATTAGCACACATTAGTGACTGCGGCCAACCACCACGCAACACCAGGCACCATAGTTATCAAATTTATTTATGAATAATGTAAGCATCATTATCAATCGATAAATAGGTATACCTATCGTGTATTTTGTATTCCTAGATACCTCTCGGTTTACAATAATGTGTAGTTTATATTAATCGAGACCATCCTATAATATGCAACTCCAACTTTTTAATATTATACATTTGCATTAATTGTGTTTTTGTGTTTAAAGAACTAGAATAAAACACTAGTTCATCACTATAGAAACACCAAGGATTTTAAAAATGAAGTGTGTCTTAAAACGTTATTTACTTCCCAAGTAGACCTATATTAGTATGCTGTTCAATCGTTTGGCATCTTTCACCGGTCTGATTGAAGCGATTGAGCTAGTCCAAAAAAGATTTTTACTTATCCTTGCTTGTTATAAGTGCAATGTAGAATTCACATGGGTAATGGGTTAGCATCTCTTTCTTCAATACAATTTTCTCTTAATTTAGATCATCTTGCTAATAGACTTAGGTTAGCTGATACTTGTTTTTTGTCCAAATTAGTAAATGGGTTGATATTTCGCCCCGAATTATTACAATCATTGAACTTCCATGTACCTCAGTATCAATCACTTTTTTGTCTCACGTTTGAAATTCCATTTCGTCGTACATCCTATGGTTGCAAAAATCCCATTGATAGTATATCCAGAGAGTGTAATGCTATGATAAACTTTGATTTGTTTAATATGAACGATTTATATCCACCAAACCCTTATTTTTCCGTCAACTAATGTTCATTATATTAACTAACTTAATTACTATTATTTTATTTAACCGTAATATGTATTTTTTTTGTTTTTTGTTTTTATATTATCTTCTGTATTTTTTTAATTTAAAGATGAGATTGTATTACTATGCTGTACATGAGCCTTTACGGGCGTTTATTCGAATAAAATAAAATAGAAAAACATGTGTAGTTCATATTATACGAGACCATCATATATTCATATGTAACCACTAACCGCAACATTAATAATTATACATTTGCATTTGTATCACCGTTAATTAATTATTGTACACTAAAACTACACTTTTACATAAGTGGAAAAGTGGTAGATTTAAAACTCAACATTATTTAATTGCAGGTTGATACAGGTAGTTTATGCATATTAATGTATTTGACGTTCAGTGGCACCGAAATAAAGTATCATAGGGTTAACCTCACCCTTTGTACGAATGGTTGGGTGATTGAGTCGTAAGTTTAAGGTGAGATGTGTAATGTGTTGATGGTTGAGGTCATTCATATATAAGTATCCAGATAATATTATTAAATGCATTGCATCATATAATATAGTATCGACTTACCAAATCTACATTTATAATGCATGATATATTGATATATTTTATTTACTTATAAGCTTTGAATTTATATATTATACATAGAAGGTATAGTTATTACCTACCTATATACAAATATGACAGTTATATTTATACAGGGTGTCTCAAACAGTACTGACATATGGAAAAACTTTTTTGGTATTCGATATTTTTTTTTTTTTTTTTTTGTTTTATTTGTAGCGCTTTGCGCTACATGTTTTATATAAAAAAAAATTTTTTACTTTTTTAATTCTGAAAATAAAAAATTTTAAATTTTATAAAAAATGTATTTAAAAAATTCAAAATAGCCAATTTATAAAGCCGATTTTTAGAAAAATTTTGATGGTTCAAATATTTATAAAAGTGTTGCCGTTAATTTTCTACAAATTATTTAGTTTTTGGAAATATGAACAATTTTTTCCTTTATATCATAATAAAATAATCAACAATCATCATTCATCGGTCATCACTGGTACCTGACTAGACGTAGTAATCACTATTAATTTTCCTAAGAGTTTTTATCAGTTATCACCATTTACACCGGCAGCTAATGCACAGAAATAGATAAGAGCATTACTGAGATAATAAAATTACTGGTTAGGTTATAGTAAAAAAAAAACTTTTATGTTACTACGTTTAAAAAGGTTTAATAGAATTAATAACAATAATACAATAATGACATACATGCATCAACAATATTTAGTTCAGTAATCAGTTAATTCAGTTGCTACCTAATATCTATTTTAAATAATTTTCAAAATGCCCACCATCGTTTTCTGTACATTTTTCATATCGCTCCAATATTGACGATGTGACCGACTTTAACATTTGTGATGTGACTTTTTTACATGCTTTAGTGATGCGCTCTTTTAAATCATTCAGAGAAGTCGACTGTTCTGAATAAACGTTATCTTTTAAGTAACCCCATAAAAAAATCTAAATGAATTAAATCAGGAGATCGTGGAGGCCATTCCAGTGGACCACAGGTACCTAACCAACTTTGTGGAAAATGCTGGTTCAAGTAATCTATTACTACTTTTGCATTATGAGCAGAAGCACCATCTTGCTGTATCCACATTGTTTTCCGAATTTCAAGAGGGATACACTCCATCAATAACGGCAATGTATTTTCTAGAAACTCTAAATAACGTTGCCCACTTAGAGTGCCATCATAAAAATATGGCCCGACCAATTTATTTATTTATTTTATTTATAAAATCATAAATGTTAAAATTGAATAAATTAGTTATAATACATAATACTTTGACCATACATTTTTAATATTACTTGTAGCTTTTAATGTTTGTACAACATTTGTAATCGTGGATCGTGACGGTTGTCTTCTTTCGGGAAATTTTTGTAGGTATAAGCGACATGTTTGAACTGTACTTTTACCACTAGTATAAAACATTTCTATCATGTCAGAATACTCTACATTAGTATAAGTAGTCGGCACATTATACATGTATACATGTATACTAAGAAGTATTTGCTTTTATTTTTTAGAACTTGCTTAAACAAAAATTGTTGACATGTGAGGATAAAAAAAGTGGTGTCAATGATAAAAACAAATCGGTAACAGTTATTTTTACCTAAAAATTTACTTATTAAATAAATGTAGAGTGTGATGCGCCGTGATGGTGATTAATTTCTAAGAAATGTATATCAATTTACTTTGTGGAACATTTCTTGAAACCACGTGGAAATTATTTTGCAAATATTCTGTAGGTACGCCACATATGGATGTGGACATGATACCTTATTCTGTATGTGACCGATTTTAACATTTGTGTCACTCTTGTATTGTAAGATACTGTTCAACTTGATTTTTTTTTGGTGAGTAATACATAAATAATCCCATGACAAATTTGTCATGAATAATCCATAATGCATTTACAGTTTCAAGCACTCCAGTGTTTGGACACATGAAACAAATCCTCAAATTTGATAGACGTTAAAATGATAAATGGTGAATTGGTGGGTACATTGATAAAACAATAACGAGAATTTTTGAATAATAATAACAAGCTTACTAAAATAATAACAGTTATTAATAATATAATAATTTATTTAATAGAACTCAAATGATTCAATTATACTGATTGCTAATACTGACGAAAATCAGAGGAAAAAATAATAAAAGTACTATAACTTTATAGTTTATAAGCCATTTTGATAACAGGTATTTTGTGATTTGTCATCAACGATATTAGTAAATATAACTGAAAACATATGAAAACTCGATAAACAAAATAAATCGATAATAGTCATTAATACTAGTAACAGACAGTGATGACTGATGATTGTTGATTATTTTGGTATGATAAAGGAAAAAATTATTCATAATTCCAAAAACTAAATAAATTGTAGAAAATTAACGGCAACACTTTTATAAATATTTGAACAATCAAAATTTTTCTAAAAATCGGGTTTATAAATTGGCTATTTTGAATTTTTCAAATACATTTTTTATACAATTTTAAATTTTTTATTTTCAGAATTAAAAAAGTAAAAATTTTTTTTATATATAAATCATGTAGCGCAAGCGTCTGCAAATAAAACAGAAAACAAAAAAAAAAAAAATATCGAATACCAAAAAAGTTATTCCATATGTCAGTACTGTTTGAGACACCCTGTATAACTCAATTTTAGTTTAAAAAATATATAATCTATTCTAGATAAGTACCAAAACTATGAACCTAATTAGTAATTAAACAATTGAATAAGCTTAATGTAATTAATTTGATGAATTTGATAGATTTATTATCTATTACATTGATTTTACAATGATATGCTTCAACAACTTTCCAATGTTGATTGATTCAGTATCGCAATCGGTCCCAATAACTCTTTTTTGTGGTCAAAGTGAATAATTGTTCAATTAAATATTAGGGAATGACAAAAAAAGTAACTTTGAATGTCTTACCATAAAATACAAATAAAATACAATATATAATATATAGGTACTATCTAGGTTTTGAAAATTAATCTAAAATATGATGTGATACAAAATAATATAATTTTTAGTAGCGAAACCATATTGTATACACAGCGTATAGTAATGTATATAATTTTTGTGTACCAATGACATGTTCTATAGATTTATAATTATAATAGGTACAGTGTATTTTAATAGTTTTATATTATATAGGACATGATTAGCCAATTACACCAAGTTTTAACTTTCCCATCTGACCTCAAAATTTTAACCTATAGATTTTTGCACCCCTTTTCATAATTTGAAAAAAAAAAAATGTATTTTTTGGCATATAACGTCAACATAATGGTCTACCCCAACTAATTTATTTACATTTTTTTTTACCTTCGAGTAAAAATTAGGAGTCATGACGTAAGCTCCGCCACAATTATTACCTTTTTTAGTGTAAGCTCTGCCACCAAAAAAAAAATCTGGTTAAATTGACTCCATGTAAACTTCTTCAGTGATGAAAAACAAGTAACAGTATACAATTAATATAACACATACAATTTACAAAACTTAAAAATAAAAATAATAATAGCCCGAACAAATCATACAAATTGTTATGTGTAATAGTAATACTTTAACAAATCATAAATCATAATAAATAACTATCATAGTCGTAATAATCATAAAATAATATGTTTTCAGCAAGGTGCAGTGGCGCGGCATTCATTCACGAAACATCAGTAGGTATGACCTTATTTCTTCAATAACCACACCATTAATGTTCGACTTGACACACTTTCAGTGTTGGGGAAGTTACTTATTTTTGGTAATTAAATATTTAAATTACATTACTAATTCCTTATCAAAATTGTAACAAAATTATTTTTAAGTTACTTTTTTTTATTTGGAGAAGTTACATTACTTTTGAGTTTAAAAAGTAACTCAATTACAATAGAAATTACTTTTTTTTTAAACAAAATAACACTGGAGCTTAATAATCATGTTGCCAATGCAACAATACATAAACTAAATAAGTAATGACAATCAACAATATGAAATTATTAACAGATACTAATTTTGTTACACTATTATTACTTATCATTATTATTTTTTTTTTTATTGAACTTAAAAGTTAAAACCTGCAACTATGGCCATTAGCAGTTGTAGGTGATTATTAACTGTGGTTGTTATGGTAGGTATGCAAACACATGCATGTGTAGGAAGGTTTTTACTTTTTACTACTACGGATCTGGGTGGTCACCCATCCGGAAACTAAAAGCAGTGGACGTAACTTACTCTCGTCGTATTGCGTATAACTACACTTTTATTATTATTATCGATAGATCCAACAATGCTGTATGTGCAGACGCCGGCACCGTGAATCGTCCGCGACGATACAACACAGAGTAAAGATAAGAATTCCATTCTAAAAGTAACACTTTATAGTCAAATAGTCAATAGCTATAACAAACATATTACAGTTCAGAC